GAAAGAGAAATAAACAAAATATAATCTACTCCGCTAGTAAGATTTTTTTTTTTTTTTTTATGTTTTTGATAGTCTCTTATGCTCACCAAGGCTGTATTTACTGTAGGTGATCAAAAATACAGTAATACAGTAATATTGTGAAATATTATTATAATTTAAAATAACTGCTTTAATGTATTTTAAAATATAGTTTATTCCTGTGATGACAAAGCTGAATATTCAGCAGACATTTTGCCAATCTCCAGTGTTACAAATCCATCAGAAATATAGTATGCAGACTTGGTGCTCAAGAAACATGCCTAATATATATTCATTTGCTTAATATTTACATTGATTAATATTATTGTGAAAACTGTGATTTTTTTTTTCATTCTTTGAACAGAAATCATAAAATCTTTTGAAATCAGAAATCTTTTGTAACATTATAAAAGTCAACACTATCACTTTTAATTAATTTAATGCATTGTTTCAGTACAGTATCTTTTCTTAAAAAAAAAAAACTTTTGAATGTTAGTTCATATATTAAAATGTATATACACAACAATTTTTTTACACACGTACAGTATATCTCCTCATGCATGCATGTTGATTTATGTTTGTGCAAAAATACTTTTTATTATTGGCTCTGTATGGTACAGTGTTATTCAGCTGGACATGACAAAGATCATGATCACGATCACTCATAATCTTTGTACCTGACAAACACAACAAAGACATCAAGCTAGAGCACTTCATATACTCTGAGGACCTCATCAGTGTTAGAGTATCAAAGCCCTCAGATTTTACCAAATAGAGGGCTGCTTAGTACTGGGTGGAGAAAATAGACTATAACCTTTTTATTTTTGAGAGAGGCTTGAAAGACATAAACACACACTCATACATTAGCACTTGCACTGAACCACAAACCCAGATGAACGTACACAGTGTACACAAAGACACAAGTATGGGCACATGAAAGCCCCCCACACAAAATGTGCTCTCTGCTCTTCTCTAAAGGTCGGGCTCCGAGTACCTTTATGTGTGCTGGTGCACACCACTGACTGTATTATCTATCATACGACCAGAGGAAAAATCTGTGGATGTGTGTGTGTGTAAAATGCAGAGATGGGCCGAGTTAATAACGTAGCCTCTTAACCACTCGTCCCCCAATAAAACACACACACACACA